AGTCACCTAGTGCTGCTACAACAGAAAGACCACAAGTGGATGGCTTTAACAAAGAGAAATTTATTCTCTCACAGTCCAGTAGGCTACAAGTCCGAATCCAGGATGCCGGCTCCAGGGGAAGGCTTTCTCTCTCTGTCGGCTCTGGAGGAAGGTCCTTGTCATCAGTCTTCCCTTGGTCTGGGAACATCTCAGAGCAGGAACCTCATGTCTGGAGGATGCGCTCTGCTCTTGGTGCTGCTCTCTTGGTGGTATGAGGTCCCCCTGTCTCTCGGCTCGCTTCTCTCTTTTATATATCAAAAGAGATTGGCTTAAGACACTATCTAATCTTGTAGATCTCATCAATATAACTGCCACTAATCCATCTTATTACATCATAGTGATAGAGTATACATTACATAGGGAAATCACATCAGATTACACAATGGTAGACAATCAGACAATACTGGATCATGATCTAGCCAAGTTGACAGATATTTTTAGGGGACACAATTCAATCCATGACACCTAGTAAACAGTCTTTATAATAAATTCTCTCTGTTCAAGGTACAGGCTTCTGTCCCCTGGCTGGGCTTTTACAGATCCACCCCCTTCCTCATTTTACCCACGAGGTGACTCTATGGCCATATCATGAATTCAGTGCTGTTTATATGGGTGGCGAAAACGGTTTGCACTTGACAACTCATCAAAGGTTGGCTGTTCAAACCTACTCAGCAGCACCGTGGAAGTAAGGCCTGGTGATCTGCTTCCATAAAAGATTATAGCCAAGAAAACTCTATGGAGCAGTTTTACTCTGAAATACATGGAGGTGCCATGATTCAGAAGCGACTCCACAGCAACGAGTTTGGTTTAAGAGCAGAGAGGTAGTGTCTCAAGCTGGGCTTCTGTCTGGACAAAAGTAACAGTTGCTGCGTTTTTCCAAGGCCGTGCATTGCTGTAGCTGAGCATCCGAGCTTCAGGGGACTTCCTTGGCCTTTCCACACTGGCGGAATTTCCCTCTTGGCACACAGTGAGTCTCCACCTTTGTCTTCAGGTTCCCGCCCTCCTCTCTTCACGAGACGTCAGCTCTAATTCCTTGGCCCTTCTCTTTCAGGGCAGGGTCTCCCTCTGCTCTGGTTTGGCAATATTTTTAATTTCTGAGGAACCCCTGCCTGTCACCAGGCCTCACTTTGGGAAACTGAGTTGTAAGTGAATCCCTCTCATCCCCATCCAGGGAAAACTGTCGTCAATTTAGGAAAAATATTTCTGTTAGGAAGAAATACTCTAGACTCAGACTCGGAAGACCTGGAACAGGTTGTCCTCAGGGCCTTCTAAGCAGCAGAGAAATCGGGGAGACTGTGATATTTCCCTCCTGGGGAAACAAACTACGCTTGTTGAGCCGAGCTCCTGAAGGAAACTTTCCAGTCAACCATCCCCAAAGAGCAAAGGAAGTTTATCTTCACTGGAAAGGCGACAGCTACCGCCCACTGCAGCCCCGCACAAAGTCTGAATTGTCCTCCGGAGATGTGGCAAGACGTCATAGAGACATTTAATCCAGAGTGGACAGCGCTGAAACATCGCCCCTCTGAAAGACACACATGGCACGGCACTGTTCCACTACAGATACAGACGCGACAGGCTCATTTACTCTGACAGAGGTTTCCCCATCATTCTGAGAATTTACTCATGTGAAAAATCTTACAAAAGCATACAGATAAAATCAGCTTTTTATCTCATAAATAATTTTTATTGAAAAGAATAAAATTTGATGAACTCGGGGTGGTCCTTAGAATCCAAGGCGCTGTTTGTTTCTGGTGAATGTGGAGCCCAAGCTGAATCACCTTGCGTCTCCTGTCAGGGGTCAGCTGTGCGTCACTGCGTCTGACACGCAGGCCGTGCACACATGGAGTGGAGCTGTGCCCTCTGACTCTGCAGGGTGGCACTCTGCACCCCGTTCCCCCGGGTCACACCGCTGTGGGTGTACCAGTTCTGTGCAGCTGGATGAATCTGTCTGACCCTTTGCTCGTCGTTACTGAGCCTGTGATCTGAGCAGCATGCAGAACAGGGGTTGAGAACAAGGGCTCTGGAGGCGGATTACCAGTCAAGGCCAATCTCTGTCCATTAGCTGTCTGTCCTTATGCAAGTCACTTCACCTTTGTACACCTATTTCCTCATCTGTAAAACGGGAGAATAGCACGCTTCTCACAGGGCTGCTGAGAAGGCTAAACGAAGCGTCCACAGGAGACAGTCGGCAGGCACTTACTAAATGATAGCGATTATCAGTCCATCACCATCTAGCAGGACTCCTGGGTATTTAAACAGAGACCAACCTTGAAACCTGGATCTCCAGCCACAGCGACCTCTTCCTCCACCTCTCTCCGTCAGGGTGCACCGTACCAGCACTTGAGCATTTCCCGCCTCACGCTGACATGTGGGTGTCCGGTGCCGCAAGACTGCGGCCCCGAGGGGGCAAGGACCAGTCTAATACTCAGCTAGTACTCATGCTCTACCAGGTATATCATTCAGAATGATTTTATTTTTAAGCATTACATACACATTTATAAGCACACACATAAGATACTTTATGTACATGCATTAGGTGGCTCTGTAAGGATGACATGAAGTCCCTTCTACAACTGTAAAGTTGGAAGAAAGACAGATCGATACAGGAGACTAACAGTATACACAGACACACGGAATGGATATAGGTTTTCATATTCAAGAAATTTTCTTGCCCTCTCCTGCCTCTGCTCACCTCCTTCCTGGGTGATAGTGACACCTAGAAGGGCAGAAAACGTTCACCAAGGACAGTGAGTCGAGGTGCAACAGAGAAGGGAAGCAGACACGCAGGCTCCAGGTGTTGGCGAGGGCCTGGCCACAAGCCGGCAGTACCTTCGTCTACCCAGGGCAGAGGTACGCGGTCCCTGAGATGAGTCCGCCACTGCCGTCTTCTCTGTGGGGCACTCAGTCCCCTTGCCTCACAAGAACATCCGCAAGATCCTCGGTTCCTTCCAGCTTCAGGTTCTGAGGGAAGATCACAACGTGTGTGAACTTGGGTATACTGAGAGTACAGCAATCACAGACCAGCTTTGAATCAAGGCAGCAAGCTAGTGACTACGAAGATGATAAAATAATATCAGCAAATGCAATTTGATGAGAAAGCTGATTTCAAATCCTTGCTGATTGCAGGGGTGGGGGCAAGCCTGCTCTGGTTCCTACAATTACCTTTTTCTGTAAAAGGTCCGAGAACTAAGCTATTTGCCTCAAAGGAGCTAAGGGAAGCAGACGGGTCCTGTGTACCACCAGGAACTACGACACATATTTATCAGACCAGCTTGAGCTGAGAGCTGCCAGTGGCTCAGCAGGCCTGGCAGAGCCGGCAGGGCCGTCCTCACGCAGCACCTGGCACCCAAGGCCTTCCCCAGCCCCTCCTCCTCTCTGCCCTGGCACCTCATCCCTTTACAACGGCCACGACAGCTACCCTCTGCCTCCCACCTTTGCTCGGGTTTTTCCGCATCTCTTAACTCTGCCACCACCTCACCCACTCCCACCCCCACCCCATGAATTCTCTTCACTGATCCCAGGCACTGTTTCCCTCAGGACTAAGCAATTCTAAGAAGCCTTCTTGCCTAACTTCACCACAAGCCATCCACCCCCTTGCTTACACGGAGGGGAGAGACCATGTCCCGCACTCAGTCTCCGCTCCACCTTCTCTCTAGCGCACCCTCCTGTACTGCTGACGTGTTCCTGCTGGGGTCCTCCTCAGTATTTTCATTGTAGTCACACCCGATGGCCTTTTCTAAGTTACTCCTAGGCGCCTGGCTAATCCCTTTGGTTGAAAGTACTGCATAAACCACTATTCCAGGTGCCCTAGGAAGCAGCCCACGCCAGACCTAGTAAAAAGCTCCAATGGGTGGACACAAGCAGGAGTGCCCCACGCCTGCCAGACTGACCTACCTTTTCATTGGCTAAATGCAGGAGACAGGCAAAGGCCAGAGGTATGGAGAGGTTCTGAGCCATGAGGGGAGGCAGGCTGTGAAGCAAAGGGGCAGCATTAGCTCGTCTCCACGATTCCAAAAGCAAGGGCTCTCTCATCAAGCATGAACAATCACACGTGCCGTGAGTAAACCGACGAGAAGCAATGAAATATCTCAGGTGCATTTTATAAGCAGGTTTTTTCAGTTTCTTTTTTGGAATTAAAAAAAATCTCTTGTTCCATTCCAGCCACTGGCGTGAAATGTCTTTTTAGAGAAACCAGGTTGGCCTGTATTAACTTATTTACCAATACAGAGAAGAAACAGAAAAAATGTTGAAAGTGTTACATAAAACCGACCATGCAGCAAGTCTTGTGGGAAAGGGACCATCAGACAGCTCAGCCAGGGGGCACCCTTAGCCAGAGCTCGGAGGGACCCATCAGACAGCTCAGCCGGGGCACCCATAGCCGGAGCTGGGAGGGACCCATCAGACAGCTCAGCCAGGGGGCACCCATAGCTGGAGCTGGGAGGGACCCATCAGACAGCTCAGCCAGGGCACCCATAGCTGGAGCTGGGAGGGACCCATCAGACAGCTCAGCCAGGGCACCCTTAGCTGGAGCTGGGAGGGACCCATCAGACAGCTCAGCCAGGGCACCCATAGCTGGAGCTGGGAGGGACCCATCAGGCAGCTCAGCC